TCACAGTCGGTAATAAGGTCTTTACTTCTTTAATATTGTCGTTCACTTGACCTTGGGTATAGTGGTTGAATACAATAAAAAACACTTAACAAAAGGTCCACTTAGTTGGTGCTTCTGGAGCTTTTCATGGCATCTAACAGCCTTCAGAGCAAATCACAAGAGCTATTAGATGAAACCTCGAAGAAAACCTTGTGTTAAGATTTTTTGTCACATTTGATATTCGATTCTGATTTATTGCTCAGATTGGTTTTTGTTGGTTTGGTTGTTCACTTTATTTTTAAAATGTGGCCCCATATCATATCAGAACAGGTCACAGTCCTGAAGCGACCCGCATGACAAATGTCAATCTAGACTGCCGCAAAAGTCACTTGAATTCTCATATGACTGAGTTCACACTCAGGTTACATTGCAAAAAACAAATCAGACTTGTATCTAAATTTGGACCACATATGAAAGTGGCCAAAAATCAGAAGTGAAAAGATCAGATTCTTTGTGATCTGAGCTGTTGACACTGTCATTAAAAAGCAGTCACATAATCGGGGGGGTGGGGGGGATCTGATTTGGGTCACCGGTGACTGTAGTGTGAACGCAGAGGTCAGCACGAGGTCAGTCTTTCTCACAGAAGACAATTTGACGTGTGGGAAAAGGTGTAAATGCCGCTTCAGTTTCAGGATCGCGGTGTTGTGCTGGCACAGTCATGACAATAGAACAAAGCCATTGTTACTGATATTAGTAACAGTTGTGCTTTTATTACCATACAGTCGGTCAAAATGTCTGCTGTGGAAGAGGTGCACTGTTAAAGGATGCTGATGACCGATTGAAGAGTACTCCATATTCCCTCAGAAAAATAAGATGTTTAGAATCCACTGCAACTAAAATGAAAGGTCTTTGCTCAATATGGACACAGAATATGTGTGTGAGACTAAACTACTTTTTACAGCATGATCACAGCATCAATCAGTGACACAATCAGCTAATTGGACACAGCTGCTCATGGAGAAACACTTAAGGAGCGACTTAACGAGACTGAAATTTAAATATTTTAACATATCCTCATTTTGAAGATTTCTTAATTTGGCATTAAACTAAGAATAAGCCCTTAAACGAGACAATTTGGCTCTTAATGTAGCTTTCCCCCTACAAATTTGGAGTTATATAACGAATATGCAAATTTGAATTGAACCCATGGCATCCTGAGCACATGGCCGGCAGCCCGGCCTTCCTCTCCTCTGCCACAACGGCGCGTGAAGCGTCATTGTTTGTTTGCTTTCTGCATTCTGTCTGCGTAGGCTACGTTACTCTGTCATCTGTGGCTTTTACACCAACAACTGGGTATCATGTAAACAAGCATTTCAATTACGCCTTCGTCTGCCATGCACACTCCCCCCCCCACCCTTCTCCTCTGCTGCAACAGGTGCCTGAACCACTCCGACTCACCCCTCCTCCCCCCCTCTCGTGCCCACAAATGAGAAGAGGAGGAATTTGTTGGTGCCTGATCCGACAGCCACATCTGCCAGGAGAGAACCCGGTGCAATGCAAGACACACAGGGGGGAGGAGATGTGTGTGTATCTGTGCAGGGAAAGTGACAGGACCCCCCCCCCCCCTTCCCCTCACTAAGCCTCTGGCCAGCGAGGTGTCTGCTGTTACCAGATTGGGTGGCTGGCATGTGTGTGTACTGTATATACCCTCACCCACAGCATCCATGTGTGTGTGAGATATTTGTAGCCATGACTGTGTATGTGTCTCACTATGCGTCTGCAAGGGGAGGAGGAAAAAAAAGGGTTAAACTAGCCAGGACTCATACGCTGCAGGCCCTGACACACTGAACTGCTGTGCTGTGATTACCCCCCACCCCCTACCCGTGTCCGTTTGGCAGGGAGACATGTCGAGGATGAGAGGGAAAAGTGCCTCCCCTGTGTGCCGCGCTTTAGCTAACCCAGATTTTATGCAGCGTGACACACAGAGGAAGACACCGGGCTCCTGTGCTCCATTCAGAGCTGAGCTGTCTGAACCGAGGCAACCCGGAGAGCAGTTAATACTTAAATATTCATGCAGCGACGGGGCTGTGGAGAAAAAGTTAGCCTTGGATTATTTCCCGTCTGGTATAAGCCAGTTAACAGGTTCAAATGATGGGTCTTTTGCCCTTTTACACTTGAAGCTTCTGGAGTTTTATCAGGGTTTAAATTTAAATAGACCTTTTTCACAGCAGCCATTTTGACATGAAATAGTTGGGTAAACAAAGGCGTTACTAGTGACAGTAATTAAGGTTCTGTTCCATTTAGTGTAGCCAACATGCACAGTAGCAGCACCCTGACTCTGTTTGACCTGGAATAGAACAAAACCGTATTTAGTAGCATTTGTAACACCTGTGTTTGCCCTACTATTTCACGTCAGTGTGGCTGCTGTGAAAAAGGTATATCCAGAATTATTATTAGAGAGATGCATTTATGGAGTATCATTGATAACACCTGTGTTATTTCAGGTCAAAACGACCGCTGTGAAAATCATCTAATGTGTGATCAAAATACAATTTTGGCATTGGTGAGGATATTATAACTTTTCTTGGGAACTGTTTCTCTTGATACCAACTGGGTAACATACTGTAAGAATGCCAGTGCTAATAAACTGTTAATATGAATAATTTTATGTTGTTGTGTTTGTTTCTTCTGTACTGTGTAGTTGGAAGTGTTTGCCTTTCTATTGTTTTGTCACATTAATTATTTAGGACCATATATTCGATTTCACTTTCAACATGCAGTGCAGGGTGAAGGTACAGTCATTTCACCACTCGCTGCACAGAGGGGGGCCGAGTGAAGAGCCGCCTCATCTGCCTACAGCAAAACAGCCACAACAATGTGATAGTTGGGACCACACTAAGTGTCCTGAGATTAATCTTAAGGGTTGTGAGATGATTTCTCACTCTAATTTAGTTTTTTTCCCAGTAGATCACTTAATAATTTTCACCTATTTAGGTCTAAAACTTACTATGTTAAACTGCTGTTAAGGCATCTCAAGCCATAAAGGTTTTAAACCACTTTATTAATGATAATGAAAAAAACAACTTGCGTTCTTTTGCATGTTTAGTACGAGTCCACAAAACAAAAAAAGGACACAATCCAGTTTATGCTTCTCACCTCCAGCTGTAGTGATTCCAACACCTTTGGCCCAGTCAGTGCCAGGGCCGGGTAGAAAGTGGTGCTGACTGAAGCACTTTGCGCAGTCAGTGGATCAATGTGGGTCAGAGCCTGAGGAAACAAGGTGTCAAAATGAGTGAATCAGAAGTACAGTGAAAAAGTATTGATTGATTCTTTTGTGTACATTTTATACACTTTTTGGTTTAAAGATCAAACCAATGGCTTTAATACCTTTCATGCTCCAGAAGAGAAAAGAAGAGCGCTATATAAAATTCAATCGCTATTTTACCTTATATTATCTTTACATTCTGCAAATTACACCTTTAGCATTGAAGTGAGTGTTAACTGCTGCTGTAGCACATATAGGAATCAAACTAATATTCTATATTATAAGTCATTATCTGTCTGTAGTTGACAAATATATTAAAATAAATAAATAAAAATGTTTGCAGCTACAACAACATTGAAGTGTGTGATAATCCATGTATTAATAGTTTGCTGCTTATATTTAAAATCCCATAATTTAAGACCATATTATCCAGCCCAACCAGAGCAGTTTTTGGCTGCTCTTTGACCGAAAGATTGTCGGTTCGAGTCCCACCAAGGCTGTAGGGTTTTAAGTAAGTAAATCATGTATACGAGTAGCTCTGGTGTCCATGATCATAGTTAAGGGGAAGAGAAATAAGGAGGAAAAGTATGATTGTAAAATAATTAATAGCTATGACATATGCTGCTTACTGTTTTCACTGTTTACTGTAGCTACTGTGTTATAAGTTAACTTGAATTTTATTTTTTAATTTTATTCTAATGTATGTTTAACGTATGTTTAATGTATGTCTCGTATGCTACTGGATGGTTGAATTTCCCTCAGGATAAATGAAGTATCCATCCATCTATCTATCTATCTATCTATCTATCTATCTATCTATCTATCTATCTATCTATCTATCTATCTATCTATCTATCTATATGACCAGTATGTTTGTTCTTGTATCCAAGATAACTGACTTCTGAAGTCAAGGATAATTTAAACTTTATTTTATTAACTTGTATCTGGTTACAAAACCACATCATTAGCTGCTACAAAGTACATAAATAAGTATGGTTTTTTTTAAAATATAAAAAATATGCTTAAACTGTATGTAACTAAATTATGGAAATATACAGTAAGAAAAAGAAAGTTTTGGTTTAAAAATAGAATTTAAAGAATCAGAGAAACCTCATTGTTGTTACCTTTAAATCAGACTTCCTCTGTCTCTATTGTCCTGACATATGTTTAGATGTGCATTGTCAGTATTAATTGTGTGTAGTATATCTCTACAGTGTATGGATTGTAGAGAGATGATGCTTAGTCCAGAATCCATAACAGGCGATTTTATAGACACATGAGCAGATTTTACTGGGTAATAATATACTGGATATGAATACTCAATTTAAACTGCCATGATTAAAGTTTCCAAACTTCCACAAATTAAGCAGACACCGGTGGGTGGAGCTTCATATCGAAACCACGCCCGCGCGTGTGCAGCTGTCTCTGTGGCGCAATCGGTTAGCGCGTTCGGCTGTTAACCGAAAGGTTGGTGGTTCGAGCCCACCCAGGGACGGATCATTTTGACTTTGATTAACTTTATAACGTGTAAATAATTAACCTAACTTGCTCCAATAACATGTTTTCACTTGACAGGGGTCTGTCGTTCTGTACACTTCATACTTAAACTTATTTCTACTCTTTATAATCTCTCCAGATTTGGACTACATTTCAAAAAGTCTATTAAAATAATGAACTTAATATTAAGTTTTCCTACTGATTCCAGTTTTACGTTTTATTTTAACATTGTCTTGCTGAACATTATAACGTTATATGACATTATAACCCATCAATATCTTGATTGTGTCGTTCCCTTTAAAAAAAACAAACAAACTGGATACCGAGCTTCCGGTTTCGCTGGTCCGTCCGAGAAATTGCTCCGTGAACCAATGTAGGAGAAGAAGAAGGGTTATGGCAACAATGATTGAGGAAAATGGTCCTTCGACTCATGTAACGTGTTTGTCTTGGTTTTTAATACCTCACACGGTTGTTCGCGTTATTTTACGCGTTGTAACTGAGAGAAAACAACTAATTTTAAACCTCGTTAAGAAAGCTTCAGTTGTAGCTCCACGTTAGCTGATGGCTAACGCATTAACTAATATAACTGATCTGTCACCTGTTAAAACATTAGCCGATAATTACTTGATAATATTTCTCTACATTAAGCTACTTAACCTTATATTAATATGTATTTGTATTGGCAATATCAGCATACAGTTTCCTAAAAGCTAACCAGACAGCAAACCAACTTATTAGAGAAACAAGGTGCTGGAATCAAACAGAATTGTGTTTATCAGCTAATCAATAAAGTGACTGATCGCTTCATCGTTAAATTCCGCGTTACTTTATCTTGCTGCCTCTCTGTCCTCGCCCAGGAGCAGTCTGAAGTGTCCTCATCGTCCAAGGCCAGGCAGAAACTAGAGGGGCTCCTGAACAAGAACATGAGGATCCGCATGACAGACGGACGGACCCTGGTGGGTCTTTTCCTCTGCACAGACCGAGACTGCAACGTGATCCTCGGATCAGCTCAGGAGTTCCTCAAATCCACAGGTGGGTGATGACTGAAGACCATTTATTATATAACAATATATATTGAGGATAAAAACTGTTACATAAGAATAAAGTAAAAGCATCCTGGTACCTATCTGTTTGCTGATGTCTTACCAGCTGTTCCACCACTGTAAAAAACACATAATTAAAGGTCTCTTTCTAGGAACTAGTGCTCTTTAAAGCTAAATATCCACATTGATAAGAAAACAGAGGTTACCTTATACTTATAGACATTTAACAGCCTATATATCAATATGCTTTACATTGGTTTGTTGCACTTTTAGTTGCTATGTTGTATTATTTCCAAAAAAAGATTAAAAACCTAAATTCAATCAAAGAAAATGAGTATGAATTTTTATTAGTTTTAACATAACTTCGTGTTAAATTGCTGTGATGCTGATGTACTTCTCTTATTCACTTTCTTTATCTCCTTTCCTCGCCTCCTCCAAGTTATATCCAGACAGGAAACAAGTGGTGTTAAGGGCGGAGAGGAAAGGTTTAGTTTGAAACACAAACAAGTTGTTTTCAAAGTTTATGTCCTGATACTTCGAACAGATTAACGATTTTGCCTGAAGAGCTTTTCTAATTATAGGACGGCACTCCTCACATGACGGCCATATAAGCTCAGTGCGCTTAATGTGCAATCACCATCAGAAGTCAACTCCCGATCACTCGTCCTCTAATCTTCAGGTTTATAGTCACTGGATTTTGGTTATTACGTGGTTTTTGCAGATAAATGGTATTTCTATACACTTTCTGTAACATGGAGCCCGATATGGGTTTATCAATTGGCCAATGCCGATATTTAGAGAGGATAGTAATGGCCAATACATAAAGCCAATATCAAAATATAGAAGAAATCATGTATAATTGTATTCTGTTATATAGGAAATTCAGGCATATAAAAGTGTAAAACGTATAAAATCTTTACCAAAAACTATAAAAATGTTTACAGCAGGATGCATGAGAGTTATATTTCAGGGCTCACAATTCACAATTTGTCCTTCGGCCTTGTGACTCAACAGTTTTCTGTCTTGTGTGACCAACAACAACCCCAGTCTTACCTGGATAATTAAACTTGACAGTGTTTTATATGATTGTCTCTTTGTCTTCAGACACATTCTCCCAGGGCGAACCAAGAGTCCTGGGGCTGGCTATGATCCCCGGGCACCACGTGGTATCCATCGAGGTGGAGGCCGACAGTCTGGAAGACGCACAGGGATTCGGAGCGAACCATTGATGAAGCTTTGCCCCGTTCGGACGACACCCAGCAGCCACTCTGACTGTCTCTCGGTGAGCCAGCTGTACGGCTGCAGCTGAGCTCAAAGCAGAGCGGACGTCTTTGATGGAGGATTCGATCAGTTCACCTCTACAGACGCAGAACTCCTGTCTCGGTATTCTGGATTCAGCCATTCCCTCTATGCTTGAAGATGTGTCCATTTGCGGCGACAGCTGTTCAGTACAGCATGCGTGTAAAACTACCTGAGTGTGCCATGTGTGTATGAGAAGGTGTGGGCAAGCAGCAGCTACCTGGATGAGTGTGGAAATGTTGTTTCAGTTGCAGCAAACGCCTTTTGTTTCGTGTTTTAAAAATCTGTGGCTGTATTTGAGACTTTATGTCTGACATTGGCAAAAATCAATAGAAAGTTGACTGAAATCATCGCTTCTATTTTGGCCCTTTTCCAAGTGTTGTATATAATGACGTGTCAGGTGCTACATGTTTATTAAAAGGGGAACCAATTTTACAGCCAATTTGCATTGTGGGTAACGTAGGCGCCAGTTCTTGACAAGAATATGTGGAATAAAATATTTTTCGGGGGTTTTGCTGCATTGATTTTGATCTGCTTGTTTTGTTTTACTGTTAATTGTGAGTATGAGAGTGTTATAGGAGTGCAGTGTTACACAGGTGGAGTACTCTTAAGGTTGGTGAAAGGAGGGAAGTTGGGGAAAAATGTACTTAAATTGTAGGACAGGAGGACAAACATCTATCCAGCTTTAGCATCTCGAACAAACCACTAAATCGCTTCTTAACTGCCCCTGGTATCATTTATTAGTATGCATCAAGAAATCAGAACAAGACTGGATTGTTTCAATATTTTAATACACTTGAGCATGTCGGCTGATTCGGTTTGGCGACAGTAAAACTGAAGCCGCAAACAGCAGAAAACCCTTAAAAGAAACCCCAGAAACAAAACTGTCCCAGTCAGTCAATTTAAATACAAAGAGCATGTCACATTGGGTTCACACAGTCGAGCAGTAGATGGATTCAAAGCCGTTGTAGTCGCTGTATCCTGATGCGGTTATTGACAAATAACTTAAGTTTGTGCTCAAAAAAGTCAAATCCTCAAAAGAATGTAAGTTTGGTTTGATTAAAACTCTTGTGTGTTTTTTTTTCCTGGCTGTAAAACTGAGGCCTCATTTACAAAGCTGCAGTTTGATTTTATCTGCACCTTTTTAATAGTGTAGTTTTCAAACTGTCACAGTGCGTCATGTTACACAAATATGATCAAATATACTGCTTATAAATTACAGACAATATGTCGCGAGAGTTCCCTCGACTTGTAACTATTGTACCGCTCCACTTTCCTGTAAACCCTGTTCATAAATGAGGCTCTCAGATTACCATTGAAGACACACGTGGTTTCATAAAGAGTCTTTGAAAGGCTTTTAAAAAGCCTGCAGTAACGTTTCAGGAGTAGAGAACTCGTGGAGTGGTTTTTCAAACAAAAAGGGTAAAAGTGCAAGTTTTCAAAAGGAGTGAAAAGGAAAAGAGTGAAATACTACAACTCTTGACTTTACTCTTAACTTTTTTTTTTTTTTTTTAGACGACCATGTTATTAAGGGAGATTTACGAAGTTGGCTTATAAGTTACAGTACATCCATAATGTTTGGACCTGGACATATAACCTGTTGAAGATATAATATTTCCACCCAAATACAGAATTCACACATCTTCCAATTATAGCTGTAGAAAATGAAAAGTTAAAACAAAAATCAAACACAATCACAGAGCGTTGGCATTGATTTGAGATCCATAGGATTTCAAAACTTTTAACACTCACAAGTTTCCTTTAATAGTGCTGAAGTCTCACCTACTTACCATTAATGTCGAAGCTCGACAAAATGCCTCCTGATGTCGCCGTGTATAAAAATCTTGGTTCTCTAGTTTGACATGGTCAAAAAATATAGACCGAGATCAGTAAACGTGTAATTCCTTTTTTTAAAAGAATACTGCGAGCTGAAACCCAACACACTTGACAGTCCTCCTATGTAAGGTCCAAACAGGAGCTACTGCATTAAAAAAAAAAAAAAATAGTTCCTTGATAAAAAGGTTCCAAGAATGGCACAAAGAAAGAAATGAGAACAGACAACCCAAAAGTCCCACATCGACTAATTTCAACCACCACCCTCTCCGTTCTTAAAAGGATCTGAAGTGTTGACACAGGACTTCATTTTGTTCAACCACAGCGTCGAGTTCATTCGATAGCCGCCGCGGTTTCACTTTAGGCTTTGTGGTTCACTGTACAGCTCAAGCCCTCCGCTGCATTAAAAAAATCAAAGGTTCAAGTAACCGACAAAAAACAGTGTCCAAACTGAAGCACAAGTTCTGAGGAAGACTTCTTCATGAATCCGCAATTGATCTTTCCCCAAAGTCCCCCCCCCCCAGCACTTGTGTCCCTCAAGTCCTCCTCTCTAGTTTTGGTGGAACTTGAAGTGGAAGCTGCCGCCAGACTGAAAGGGGTCGAAGTGGCCAAAAGGCCAGCCCTGTCCTCCGCCTTGCTGGTTTTCCGGGTCCAGGGGATCCTCTCCTGCGTCAAACTTCTGCCTCATTTCTGGCAAGACAATGGAAAGAATGAAGGGACAAATTTAAGACAATGAAAGATAAATGGTAATTCTAGCTCTAGCAGCAGTGTGCACTAACATTTAGTATTTGGTCCTGTGGAGATTTATGCTTTTATAACTTACTTTATCGGCCTGTTTTCATTCAAAAGCATTCAAGTATTTTGCGTTATGTTGTTCTATCAAGTTGCTGGATACCTGTTACCCCTCTGATTAAAGGAAAAGTTCGACACTTTGGGAAACACACATTCTGATTCTCTTGCCGAAAGAGGTAGAGGAGAAGATAAAAAAGAAATAGTTTGCCGCTTAGACCCCGAAACACCTTGAAACTTTTGTTTTTGTAATAATTAGTGAGCTTTTAGAAGGCTAGCTGTTTCCTCCTGTTTCCAGCTTTATCAGAATCAGAATTTATGCAAAGCTAACAAGCTGCTGGCTGTGGTCTTCATATTTAACACAAATTAGATAGCAGTAGTTTGCAAATGAACTGTACTAGAACTTTTTGGTAATTCTGCAAAGTCGAGACACTAAAACTGTACCTGCTCATTTCTTACTCTCAATTACTATCCACTAAATTCCTAAAGTGACAAAGTAATAGCAATCTCAGCTCCTGACCTGCGTCAGTTAGGACCTCTTTAGCCGACGCAATGTCGATAAACTTCTTTTCCGCTTCTTTCTTCTCAGTCTCAGACTGGAAGTTGTCCGGGTGCCACTGCTGCGCCAGCTTCCTGTACGCCTTGATGATCTCCTGCTTATTTGCGTTCCTGAGGAAAACAACGTTTGTGAGGGTTAGTTGGAGATCTGCTCGATAGAGTAATCTACAGTGACTTAGTGTTTGATGTCAGTCCAGAGGAAGTTAACACTAATAACACCGGTTGGAGCGGGTACCTGCTGACACCGAGGATCTTGTAGTAGTCCCTCTTGCGAGAGATTTTTAGCAGTTTCTGTGCTCGTTCCAGCCCTTCTCTGATATCCTGGTTATCGTCAAACTCTCTTGCTTCTTGGTAGTCCTCCACAGCTAAAGTAAAACACATATTACAAAATAAAAGTTTTTCTACCATACTTTTGCTCTGATTGGTTCTGAAAAATACAAAAAAAATATATGTTTTTTGAAAATTTGTTTTCTTTTCACAAGACAATAAAATCCCATCTGATACAATACATGATGATATACATTAATCCTGTATGTCACTAACATCGATTTGGACTGAACAAGTTGCACCTAATTTTATTTTGAAATGTAAAAAACCATGAAAGACTTCAGTCTACTAATTCATTTTGAATCTATGCTTTGTTGAATGTTTTAAGTATCAAATTAGTAGTAGAAAGGTCCAGTGTGTAACATTTAGGAGTTCTAGTTTATAGTTGTTTTCATTACTGTATTATATACTGTATTCAAATGTCTGCAATCTGCATCTTCACCACTAGATGCCACCGAATCCTACGCACTGGTCCTTTAAACTATAGAGAACCTGCTTAATGGGTGTCTATTTTTGTATGTGCATGCAAATGCAATATCTTCCTTTATACTGTAAGTGTGTACAGTCAATCAAAGGCACACAAAAATCTGCTTCCTGTTAACCCAGTTTTTCTTTTGTTACCCAAACAAGGATTAGGACCATAACAAACAACAAACATTTAGCCCAGTTTACTGCAGTTAATTGTCACTGAGAAGGTGAGTCCTCTTACCTCTCTCGTAGTCCTGGTTCATGATGTACGCCTCGGCTCGGTCTCGGAGAATGTTGGCGTTTCGGGGGTCCCTCTGGTGAGCTTCTGAACAAACGTCTATCGCCTCATGAGCCAACTTTACCTAAAATGGGGCAAGACAGAGGGATAAAGTGTTGGCAGAGTGTTTTGGATTGACAAGTGTGATGCCAACTGAAAATATGATTTTATTATAATTAATTATAACTTCTATATAATCTTCTGTTCTGTTTATTAGAGTCTACAGAGCCATTACATGTGGGCAACAATGTACAGATTCTCATTCTCTGTCTCACCTTGACAAAGCAGAAGCAGATCCTCTCTTTGGCCAGGTTGGTGTAGTATGGAACATTCGGCTCTGTCTTCATCACTGATTCGTACTTATCGATGGCTTCCTGATACCTAATTGTAGATACAGAGAAAAATCAGTAAGGGTAATTAATTAGTTTAGTTAGGTTGCAAGCGTTTATATTATATTAGAAGTGCACCAGTCCTACAGTAAAGTACCAACCTCTCCATGTGAATTAGCTCTTCTGCCGTGTCCAGCTGCTTGCTGAGCTTTTTCACCTGCTTGTAGTGGCTGAAACACTCTTTGTCATCCTGGTCGAGCTTCAGACACTCTCGGATGTGACTGCACAGACCAACAGATGGAGTGAAGAATAAACAGTGAGAAGCACATTTGGAATCCAGCAAAACAACAGAGGGAAACAGATGTTTTCGAGATGAAAATCATCTTCATTTGCATGACTCCGCCGACTGAATGAACGTAGTTTGTTTATTCCGGCAAACAAAGCTCACTTGAGTGACTCGTGGTGTTCTCCGAGGCTGTAGTGCAGCATGCTGAGCTTCAGGAAGGCGGCGCGGTTGTCGTTGCGTAGCCTCGTGGTCGGCGTCAGATCCTGGATGGCTTTCTGTGGATCCCCCATTCGTATGTAACATTCTGCACGAAGCTCCCGTGACTCAGGATCCCAAGGAGAGATCTGAAGAAAGAGTGAGCAGAGATGTGCACACTGATTCAGCTCCACCGCAAGATGCAATAATGGTAGATAAACCAACAACACAGCTAGGAACATACAGTAACAACAGACAACATGCATGCAAAGGGCTTTAAATGCAAATCTCAGCTTCCTTCTCCGTCCCAGAGCTGACACACACCTCAATGACTCTCTCTAGCACGCTGATGGTAGTGCTATAGTCCCCTTGGTGGTACGCAGCATTGGCCTCCTCCTGCAGCTCTTCCAGCTCGTTGGCTCTCATCAGCTGGTCCTGAGCTTCTTCGTGGTCTGACG